ACTACTAGGAATATAGCTTAGTGTTAGGCCCTGAGTTCAAACCTCAGTGCCCACCCCTAATCCTACCAAACCCCACAAACACTGACATTATTATTTTCCAAGTAAAAAGCAACCAAGATAAAATATCTACCAAATTACTGATAGCCAAGCTTTAAAACTGCTCAATAGTAGGGACTGGGGATTTAGTTCAGTAACACAGCACCTGCCTGGCAAGCACAAGGTTGTGAGTTCGATTCCCGATACCAGAAAAAAACCGAAAAAAAAAAAAAAATTGCTCAATAGTTATTATCTGTCCTGGCAATTTTAAAGATAGGGATTAGTGGTTGCCTCAAAATTCTACAGGACTTCTGCAGGTTTAACTTCTATTGTGAGGCAAGTATCCTAAATATGAGGCTAAGGACTATGGTTCCAATATCAATTTATGGTCACAGGGGCAAGAAAATAATTTAGGAACCTTAAAAGTTTTCAGAAAATAGAACATGCCTGAGATTAATTTATCCCCAACATTATGAAGACATTAATCTTGGTATTGAGAGTTCAAGCATTTAATGAGACAACTATGTGCAAAAAAACAAATGGGGATTGAAAAAGTAGTAAGACAAAAATCAACCTGCCTTTAAACTGAGGAAGAGAGAGAGAGATAATGACAGCACACTAAGGAACGTAAGACGCTGAATGAACAAGATGATACATGGAGTGCCTAACCCAGCGAGGTGGATAGAAAGTGGACGAGAGGACACAGGAGACCTAAAAAGCAGAGTGTTGTATCTTGAAAAATCAGTCAACTTTACAGGAAGACAAGAGAAGAAAAGGGGCCAGGCATGGTGGCACATATGTGTAATCCCAGCACTTGGGAGGCTGAGGCAGGAAGTTCACTGTGAGTTCAAGGCCAGCCTGTGCTACAGTGAATTCAAGCCCCAGCCTGAACTACATAGTAAGACCATGTCTGAAAAAAAAAAGATGAGAGAGAGAGAAGAAAAGGGGTGGTAAGCAGTGGGGAGAACATAGCAAAGGCTGAGTCAGGAAACAGTATGGTTCATTCAACTGGAGCTCAAGATATATGGTGGGGGAAATACAGATAAGCCAGATGATGAAAGGCCTGGGAAACATAAGTTACGACCAAATCCTACAAGTAAAGGAGAAGTGTGCGTTTTCAGAAAGAAGCAATGAATAACCCTAGCACTCTGGAAGGCTGAGGCAGGAAGACTGCAAATATGAGCCCTGGACAACTTAGCAAGACTCTAGCTCTCAAAATAAAAACCAAGAAAAAGCTGAAGATTAGCTCTGTGTGAAAAGCCCTGGTGCAATCCCCAATACTGAAAGAACAAAACAAAATAATGAACAGATTTGCATCTCAGAAAAATTACCCTGGCAGTAGTATAAGAGACTAAGGAATTATCCAAAGTCACATTGCTGAAGACTGGAATTCATGTCATGATTTGCTCTCTAGAAACTGCTTTACTGCATCACATTTATGAAGGTAGCATTTTGAATAATAATTCAAAAGACATTTGGAGCTGGTGGTGCACCTCTACATGGTGGTGCACACCTGTAGTCCCAGCACTCTGTAGGCCTAGGGAGGAGGATCGCAGTGAGTTCAAGGCCAGCCTCAGCTACACAGTGAGACCTGTCTCAAAAAAAAAAAATTCAAAAGACACTTTGATTCTGTTGTTAATTGCCTGCATAATAATTTAACTGTAAAATTATTTCTATGGTTCCTATGCCTCACAAAAAAAGTATCTATTAGACATGCATATGTTTGCACACCTGAAATCCCAGCACTCGGGAGGCTGAGGCAGGAGGATTGCTATGAATCTGAGGTCAGCCTGGGCTACAAAGAAGTTCAAGGCCAGCCTGAACTGCATAGCAAGACCCTGTCTCAAAACAAAACAAAAAAAAAAATAATTTAACTTTATATAACTACATACTCAACATCTTTTTCAGTATGTTTTAACACTGTCCTTCAGCCTACATCTTTTCTTATTTTGTTGTGTTCCCCACCTCCCCTTACTCTTTCCTTCACTACTACAAACAGGTGCGAGTGGCAACACTGACAAAAAGACTTAAAAATACTGTACATGTCACAGAATCTGCAGTGTTGAAAATATTTTAATGTTTGACTTCTCTACTTTGCACTTGTCATGTCTACCCACTGAAATTGATTTAAGTAGCATAAAAATATAAATTAAACAGCTCTCTACCATGCAATTCCCTCCCAAAGAGTCTTCCAAACATGGATAAGTTTGATGCACACTCTTAAAAGACGTGATATTCTTACATAACAGAAGCATTCTCAAAGAGTCAACATACAGTTTGCAGCCAAACGCCACTGGTTTTTACTTCACCTTTCATTAGTAATACAGAAGGTAGAGTACTAGCTTGCTTGCTTCCTGGTTATCACAACACACGTCAATATCATTCGAGAATTACAGAAAAAAAAAAAAGAAAGAAAAAGAAAGCCAAGTCCCAAGTACTCTCTGTATTTCTTCCATAGCAGCATCACAATTTGTTTATTTTATTTACTGTTTTCTGCTTCATCTCGATGTAGGGTACAGGAGTGCCGGAATCACTGTACCTCCAATGCTGACGCCCACCAGATAATCATATATTTATTTGTTCACCGATCAATCTATGCTTACTTAGAAATCACAAAAGCTCTTTTATAAAAATTCTGAAATCTACACAATTTATCATTTGTCTACCTAAAATAGGGGAGAAAAAAAGATCCACTTAGTCTTTTTTTGGCTCTACTTTCAAATACCTGCTCAACTGACTGGTTTTAATGAACGTAAACGCCAAGCAGGCAGGGTGCAGTGGTGCAGCCTATAATCCCTACTCAGGAGGCTGCGGTAGGAGGTTGGAAAGTTTGAGGCCAGCACTGGGCAACCTGGTGAGGGTCTGCCTCAAAAGAAAAGTTAAAAGGCAGGGTACAGTGCTAAGGTACAAGCGCGGGTACAGCTCAGTGGGGCAGTGCTTGCCTAGCATACACAAGACCCTACGTTCAATCTGCATTACAAAAAAAAAAAAAAAAAAAGCCAATCATGTATTTTGGTTTGAACCACCACAAAAACCTACTTTAAGCCCCCTAAGGAGTTACATATCCCTAGTTCTACACCGCATTCCCTTGTTCATAAAGATGATTGCAAAATTAAAAAAAAAACCAGTATATTATCCCTAATTTTGAGATGAAAAGAAATTCATTTAATATATATATAACTATCAATATGGAAAGACTGAAGCAGGCACAGTTCTTTACTTCAGCGTACTCAAATTTGTCTGTTTAGCGCAGATTATATTGTTGGTTTTTTTTTGTTTTTTTTGTTTTTCTCCGGTACCGGGAACCGAACTCACGACCTTGCGCTTGCCAGGCAGGTAGCGCAGATTATAGATTTACAGAACTATTATGAACACAGGCTCCAGGGCTTGTCACACTGGGTTTCCTAATCTAGACTACTGCTGTCAGGCAAGTGCACAGGCTTTCTGACTTCGACATTTTAAAAAACCAATACACACACACACAGGTCATTTTATTTAAATTCCACCTAAGTCCGGAGTAGACACCCAAATCTGTGAAAGATCAGACTCATTAGCAAGATTTTCTAAAACAGCTCTAACATTATCCACACCCCCACACTCCCATCTCCCACCCCCGCCCCAGTACTAGAGATTGAACCCAAGGCCTTTGAACTGAGCTACATTCCCAGCCCTCTTTTAAAATTTCATTGAGAGACAGGGTCACGATAAATTGCCCAAGCTGGGCTGGAACTTTCGATCCTCCTTCCTCAGCCTCCCAAATCTATTAGCCATATTTAACAGTTTGCAAATGACGCTTCTGCAGAGATTTAGCTCTGGGCTTTCAATTCCAAGCCATTTTTTGGCAGCTAAACTGGAAGTTATCCTTCTCCACAAAAGCTTTTCAAAGGAGGGAAGCGAGAATACACTTTCCAGCTCTACGTGACTCTGCCTAACACTCGGGCAAAAGACTTCAGGGCAGATCTAGGGATCAGCAAAGCAGACCACCTAGGAAGGGAAGCCGAACCCACAGAGCCTTCCTCCGCCTGACAGCTACCAGTTGCGCGGACGCTCGCCTCCTGGAGGACCTCAGCCCACACGCCCGCGGTCCCAGAGCTCCGGCGCGCCCCCACGGGGATCCCGAGGCGGAGGCACGAAAATGCTGAACAAATCCACTATTTTTCCAACTGGGCAGCGACACGGATCAATCCCCCGACTAAGCATCGAGCCAATCGCATCTAAGGGAGTAGGAGACCAGACCCAAAGCTATGCTTCCACACCTCCTAACTACAGTGCACGACTCCGGGTGCCACTGAAGCCCCCTCCCACCGCCGGGAGACCCACGCCCGCCGAGCCGCGCCCACACCGCGAGAGCACGGAGTGGGGTCGACCCTAACTCGCCCTGTCGCCCTCAAAACGACTGAGGAGCATGCCAGGGTACTGCCCTCCTCTGGGCAAAGCAGAAACCCCAGCAGACTTGGGTCTCCGCCGTACTCCCCTTCCGCCCCCAGGACAGCCAGAGGGGCAGACATCTCGAGACTCCCGCAAACAGACCCCGGTCCCTGGAACCCCGACACTCCGCCGCTTTCTCCCAGGCATGCGGAACGGACGCCCACCCCCGCTCGGAGGAACCCGAAGACGCCGAGGCTCCGTCCCCTGGCACTTCGGATCTCGCTCACCTGCTCCTCTGCTCCCCAGCAGCCCGGACCCTGGTACGAAGTCCCCGGCTCCCCGAACCTCACCAGCCCCGCTCAAGGTATCGCGGGACCCTGGCACATCCTCCGCGACCCCGAAGCCCCGGGGCCCCCTCTGCAGCCACGCAACCCCTACCGGAAGCCCGCAGAGCCCCGGGAGCCCCGCACGCCGCCCCCCGCCCCAGACCGCGCAGCGGTGCCCGCACCTCGCACCCCGAGCCCACGCAGCCCCGGAGCCGCCCCCGCCCGCAGCCCGCCCGCCCCTCCGCGGAACCGCGCGCAGGGCTTCCACACCTGGGCAGCGGCGGAGGGCGAGCGGACCCAGAGCCCGGAAGACGAGAGAGCAGGGTGGCGCACGAGCGGCGGCCCAGGCCTGCGGTGCCGCAGCTCCGACCTCCGCGCGAGGAAGCACCGCTGTGAGAAGAGCCCTCCCGCTCCGCGCGCAGCCTAGAGACCGAGCGCCGCCGCGCCCGCCTCTTCCCGCGAGATCCCGGCCACGGCGGGGGCGGGGCCGCGGCGGCTCCTCGAGTGACAGCCTCGGCAGCCTGTTGACGGCGGAGGAGGAGGCGGGACTCGGGGCCCACGATGACCAATTGTAAAAGACGAACTATGCTTCGCCCCGCCCTTCATCAATAAACTATGAACAGAGTAGTAGTGACCTGAAGGAGTCAGAGGCAATGGACGATCGTCAAGGTAGCTTGGGTGAGGCTGCTTGGCTGGTGTTTGGTCCTGCTCAGTCGCCGTAGACACACCAGATTTGGGGAAGAAGCCGGTCTCACACTTGTGTCAACTGAGGCTCTCTTACCTTTGGTCAGAGTACTGCCTGCGGTTCCCTGGGAGATCCATCTTCCAGGTTAAAGGTGCACCCGCCTCGGGTCACCCGCCTCTGCACCTTCGTTTGATGCAGATGCCTTCTTACCCCCTTTCGGCCTCGCTTCCCTCTGCACTTCAAACAGGGCGACATGATTAAGATGCCCATGTGTTCCAAGCCCCAACCCGGGACATCTGGTCCGACAAAGGACTCTTCTGGTTCTTCCAAGTTTTCTATAAAGTAAAAAAGTGAATCGCACTTGAGTCACCAACGTAGCAAGTTCCAAAATGACGTGAGAAGACGTATCTTTGTGGAGGCAGTGTCCAGTGGTGCTCAGCACACGCAGGGCGCTGAATAAATGGGAAATGAAGGAACGGAGACTGTGGTGTTAAAAACATGAAATCTAGCTCTTCCTGTGTACTGACAGCCAATCCCTGTACGCTCAAGGCAGTCTCTTCATTATTATGCCTGTCCTGTAGCCTTCTTTCATCTTCCTTCCTCTCCTTAACCACACTAAGAAGTCTCTTTCTTCTCACCAAGGTTAACCCCTGCACCTATGCACTGACTGGATCGCTGCGGGGCCCAGATTTAGTTTAGTCAGATTTCCCCCGTTATCAGGTGTTTCTTTGCCTCAGTCTTTTCTCCCCCAAACACACTGTCTCCCCCTGCTTGGAACACACCAAAACCCCTCCTCTTGTACCACCTCAGGCTGCCCTATCTCCATTCTTCTGAGAATCACATTGCTTGAGAAGCATTAAAGTATATTTTCTGTCTCCACTTTCTCATCCGCGCGCCTCTACAATGTTGCTATTGCCCACACAATCTGCTACTCTTTCAGTGGTTACAAAAGACCTCTTTCCTAATGGACAAATAGTGTATTTCAGGATGTTTTCCCCAGTGACCTCTCTGCAGCATATTGACAATGCTGCCTGTCCCTGCCTTTAGTACCTACCTAACTCCATTCTCTTGATTTCCCAGCTACTCTTCTGAATTTTTTCTTTCAGCCTCCTTTCCTGGTTTGAAAACTGTTTCATATTGATGTCTCCTTATCTTATAGGCACACCTTGTGCATGGTAAGAAAAATATCCACACACGGTTGCACACTTTGAGTGCCAATAATTGGCTCACACAAAAGTAGTTAGAGAAGTCCAGAGGGAGGAGATGTGGCTGTAAGGCTTGAGCTGGGTGGTAATAGTAGATTGCCCATATAAATGCGGGGCAGAAACAGAGGCCTTTCAAAGAAGCCTTTCAATAATGTGAACCTGAGCACAGAGAAAGACAGTGGGCTGAACCTGGCTCTGAGTTTGGTAGTTGGGTAGGGAGATTCTAGCAGGAGAGTAGGTGGGAGGTAAGACCAGAAAGAAACCAAATAGTAAAAGGCCTTCAGTAGCAAGCCAAGCTGATTCAATGTGATTTTGTATGAAGTGGTGAGTCAGGACCGATCCTAACATCCTAGGGCCCAGGACACAGCTGCGTATGGAGCCCCACCTATCAAATATCTAAATATGTAAGTTATACAACAAACTGTGAAATTAAAAAAATTATATCCTTTTGCCTTGGAAAATATACTTCGATGACTTGTAAGACCAGATTTGGGTTTAGAGTCCTGGGATGGGACTACTTGAGAGTTCCCTGATGGGGCAAAGCAGGTCAGGAAGAGAGGCTTGCCTACCACACCCCCACAACAAAGCTGCTTCTCTCCCATGACTTCCTATATAGCCAGTCCAGCCCCCACTGCAAGGTGACCTCAGACCAGGGACAGACACTCCAGCCCACATGGCAGGCTCCATTCCCACTTCCCCTCTCATCCCTGGGTTCAAGAGTACAGTCCTAGAATGCAGGGAAATGCCCACATAGGCCCTGGAAAAGCACTCAGAGCCGTCTGGGTAGGAATTCTATACCCCAGGAGCCACTCTCTGGTGGAAAAGTCAGCTGAGGTTGGCTTTGTAGGCTCAATGGACTCCTGTTCAGTATGTAGGAGTGTGGCAGAAGGGCCAGGACAGAACCTTTTGAAGGCCTCTGCCTGCCACTAAAGATGGTGCTAGCACAGTCAGTGAATTTCTTAGTAATGACAAGTAGAATTGATCTGTCTCATGCCTCCCACCTTCTTGACTCTTGCACTGGTGTCTTCATGGCAGGAATGTACTGGAAGGAAACTCTATTCTTGACTCATATCCTTGTGTGGCATCTCTTTTCCAATGCTCAGTTTCATAAATTAGATCATTCCATAATTCGCTTATTAATTAGTGTATCACAAACCTGGGTATCTGTAAATGTGAAAAAACAGAAAAGCCATGAGATGCTGTCAGCTTAGACTAAAGCTTGGAACACTTACATTTGCCTTCTAAATCAAAATGCTTTGGAAGTAGGGGCTCTCAAAGAGGTCCCATGTAGCAGACCCACAGGGAGTGTGAATCTGAAAAGGCAGGACGCCACCTCACACAGGGCTCCCCTCTCGCCATCTGTCATTGTGGCATGACACGCCATTCTGTGGCCTGACAGTCACGCTCTGTTCCTGCAACCTCTCCATCTGCTCCCGAGTGCTTCGCTCCTTATATGTTGCACCAAGGAGCCTGAGCCACCTTGGCCTCTGTTTTGGAGATTTAATCCCAGCATCCCACTCACGGGTCCTGCACGTCGTTTCTCAGTGGTGCTGCAGATGATTTTAGTGTGAGGTTTTGATGCCCGCTTGCTCCTAGTACGGAGGGCTGCCCGCAGCCTCGCTGTCACCATCTGTGGCTGGTCTGCGCCAACCAGCAGCAGAGCAGAACCAGTCTGCTTCTTCCTCAGGTCTTAGCATCTGCTGCCTGTATCCTGACCTGTTCTAGGTGAGCACAGTCACAGTTCTATCCTTGTTCAGAAGTCTGAACAGTGACCCCCTTTCTGGGCACACCTTGGGCATAGCTATTTCCTGGCCACTGTGTATTCACTTGGGCCACAGAAGACGGTATTGTTTGCAGAGCTGGACGAAGAAATCTGGTTCTGTCAGACCCGACTTCCACTGCATTCTTTTAGAGTTCTCGGGAGTGCCTATTTGGTTAGGTTGAAAGGCTGAAATTCTATGTGAATTACCCCAAGATTGAGGGAGCAGAATTCATCAGTCCACCTGCTGACCCCTGACTAAACTCTAGACATTGTTGTTTGCAGACAGCTAGCCACAAGGGCAAGAAATCAATAGAATCATGAGATGGCTTTCAAATGTGTCCAAACATTATTTGATATGTTTTCTCCCAAGAACTCGAGCTTAATTCCCCTCCCCCAAGTCCGGCTATACCTAGTGACTCACAGCCAGCAAATGGCTTACGGTAGGAATGACAGCGTGTGACTCCTGAGACTGAGTTAAAGAGACAGCACAGCTTCTTTCATGGTCTCTCTTTGATCATACCCTCTGGAGGAACCAGCTATCATGTTTATGGCTGTTCAAATAGAGTTCCACATGCCAAGAAATAGGCCTCCAGCCAACCCTATCTTAGACACCCAAGTCCAGCGCCAGTGAAGCTTTCAGATGACAACAGCCCAGGCAGACACCTTGACAAAACCTCCTGAAAGACCCTGAGCCTGAACCACCAGCTAAGCCTCTCTAACATTCCACATGGCTGTGTTGAAGGCGTTTTACTGGGGAGGGGGTGTCATTTGTTATTCAGAAAGTGATAGCTAATACAAGAATATTGAGAGTAGTTCCATCTTCAACGCCTGGAAAAAAAATCTAAAAACTCACGTCTGACCCCTCCTTAGGCATTAACACTACCTAAACAGCAAAGGACAACTGATTAGTAGCCATAACTTTCTACATACAAAATGTAAGAGAAACTGCACCAAAAGAAATTGGAGAAGTCATTTCTTGGTGGAAAACAAAGATCCCAGTGCTTTAAAATTCAGGTCCTTAGGAGCATTACAGCAATTGGAGATAACAACTGTGGAGCCATTTAGAGGCAGCTAATAGCAGGTCTAGAGCTGCAGGGGAACCTTTTCCTCCCTGAAGCTTAGAATGCTTCACAAACATACTACTTTCAGCCAATCTTGAGTGAAAGTATATGTTTTCATGAAAGCAGAGGGGGAAAACATTCTCTTACCTATCCGTATTAGCTAAGAATACAGAGTTGAAAACTCCTTCTATGGGGACGTTGTCAAAAATAAAATTGACATCCTGACAGCATACAGTGCCCATAGGAAAGCATGGTGTATTTAACAGCAAGGTTGAGATTCTCTCTGAGTATGATACTAAATTTCTTAACATTGTGAGTTAAGATTCAACGAGAAAGCAATTTGCCTATTACACTAAAACTAAGGAAACCCACATAAAAAGGAAACTAGTTAACCAAGGTGGGAGCATGGTATTCTAATTTCATTGAGCCATATAGATGAGCCATACATAGAGTCAAATAATTTACAAGTTAATCCGGAGATAATTTACAGCTAAGAAAATATATTTACAATACATTTGCATCTATATGGCCCAAATCACTGTAACGTGGATTTGTTGTAGACGTCCTGCTTCATTTAACGTTTAAGGTTTTGAACCACAATATCCAATAAAATACCTTAGTTCCCCACCTTTCCCTCAACCCCTCCCTGACAAATATAATCAACAAATAGTTACCGGATGGCTGCTGAGCGTCAGGCATTGTGAAGCATGCAAGTATAAACCGTAGTTCCTGCCAGAAACAGA